GCCACCGTTACGGCGGACGAGGACGAGGAGTTGGGCCCGCCGATCCCGCCGCCCCCGCCCCCACCACCACCGGACCCGCCGCCGCCACCTCCGCCACCGCCACCACCGCCACCGCCGCCGACGACGGAGTGCCCACCGCCGGCACCGGGAACCGGGGGTGGGGGCGCAGTATCGTGAGGAGTCGTCGAATGCGCCGTCTGTTGTACCGGCAGCGCCCCAGCATAGTATCCGCCGTTGATGCCCTCGGGGTAACTGCTGAAGAAAAGAGAAAGCGAAAAACAACATCATGGGCGAGACCTTGAAAATTTCGCGCGCCACTTGTTTTCAGTACTTATGTAGTAGAGTAGCTTTTATTGTAGTGTGTAGAGTAGCTTCCAATTTTTCTTTTTTTTTTCTCTGACTCTGTGTGTGGATTTCGTTACGCTCTAGGGTGGCGTTCTAGGTGTGCTCTAGGTAGTAGAGTAGCAATCGTTCCTCGCCAACGAGAAACAGGAACGTGAGAACACACACACAGGTCATCGAGATTCCCAAGAACGGAATCATCTTTGTCTCTGTCTTTCTTTCTTTCGTTCGTTTTTTTTTTCTATATAAGTCTCGTCTAAGCGCTTATTCTTTACACTCTATACACACACGCATCGACAGATTTTGTCACGCTCAACTTTCACGATCGCTTTCGGACTTTCACTCGGAAGAGAAGAGAAGTTAACATCTGCTCGAAAAGCCGTTTCTGCAAAAATTACCAGAGATACAGTGTTACTCATCACGAAATTGATCCAATGCTATTTTAAGATTTTATGTATTTTCCATTATAACTTTATTTAAGGCTCCTGGCTCCTTCTTACTATCGCCATCTTCGATCTTCCTCCTGTACGTTTCCACAACATCCTTCTTCTTTATTCATTTTTTTTCCATTCTCATTAAAGAAAGTTTATCTTTTATTTTTCTGAATTCTGCAGAAATTCCCTTAGTTTATATTATATTTCCATTACTTTTCTTAAATCTTTTCATACATTTTTCTAAATTTTATATCAACTTTGATCAAACGTAAAACATCATTTTGGAAAAAATAAGATTCAGTTTTTAATTGTTTTAGACTTATAGATTTTACTAAAGATTATATGTTTACAAGCCTTTCGGAATTTTATTAACTCTATACAACGCACTTTTGCCGTACAAAAAAAATTATAATAACGTGAAACGTTAACTTGAAATAAGTTGCTACGCTCAATTGTAGCGAAGAAATTGATTAAGATGTGTTAAATAATACGTGTGTGACTTTAAAATTACACGGGGTTACATCATAATCCCAAGTTTCTCCAACATATTTAAGAAAATTAAAATTTGTACTTTTCATAAACATGATAAAGACAGTTGCAAAAATAAGTCAAAGTAATATCGCACTTATTTTAATATAAATTTTCAAACACACTATACGTTTAATTCTAATTGTCAAGTGGATTTATTTCATTTCCTTCCAAAATGGTTTTATATTTAAATTACAAGAACGTTTAATACAATAATAATAATTTGTAAATTATTGGATAAGTACAAAAATTCTCGCTCTCTTCGATCGATCTTAAGGTATTATAACGTTATTAACCCAATACATGTCAAATTTTATGACTAATATCACATTTATGTATTACATACTTTTAACTTTTCATCAAGCATATAATATTTTATATATCAAGATTCAGGAAGATTATGACGTCAGAAGCGACAATTTGTACGAACCTTTTTCCTTTGTAAAAACACACATGCACATAGTCATCCAAATTCATTCATTCATTGATCCACATACACACACGCGCACACACGCACGCACGCACGCACATTTGTTCATGGATCCATACATATGCTCGCACATACTAATCCACAAGCATCCATCCAACGATTCACACGCTTGCAAAAATCCATCCACTGATTCACATACTTGAACACTCATCATATGTGCGCGCGTATGCATGTAAATGCACTCAGTCAAAATAAATTAGTTTTTTCGCGTTTTACCATTTGTATTCGAGAATATAAATTAGTAGAACACAGAAAAAATTGAAACTTTCTTAAATTCCCACATCTTCAATAAAAATAATGAGTCAATCGAAATTTATATTGCAAAATAGGGAAGAAACTAATTTATTTTGATATGTAGAGTGCCACATGACGTACTGTACAAAGTAAAATATTTTTGATAGAAATTCAAGTAGAAAATATCCTATAAACTTTCTCCAATGCGAAACAATTATCCAGTCACGAGTGTGTTTAAAGTTCATTAAATAATGGTACAATTTTTTTAAATGTTTTCAAATAAAAATGGAAAATAAGAAATATAAAAATTGCACAATATGGTGTGATCTAAATTGAGTGGTCGCAAAGAATATCATGATTATTGCTTATTTTTTCACACGAGTCACTAATACATGCGACTCGGCTCAATTATTAACTTTTTGTACTAAATTTCTCATAGCTTTGCTGAAGATACAAATCTAAAGAAATGTGAAATCTGGTGATTTCAACAGCCAAGCAAGATAGATAACCGTTTGCAAATAAACAACCGTTTCGAATTGGATCCATGTTTTTAAGACATCTTCCACTGAAATTTCTACCAGAAACATGCCCCTTCGGTTTGTACAGTACGTTATGTAGCACGCCGTATAATATGTACGCGAGGAAAGAAATTCATATCGTTTTTTTCCAACATCATAACTCAAAAATAGCGTTGTAGCGAGGGGCCAGGAGCCTTAATACAATAAGAAGGAGGGAGAAGAGAGCAGGCATATGTATAAAAACAAATTTTTGTAGCTCGCGTTATCAGAAAAAATACAAATGATACATTCTTAGTACATTCAAGCTTACAGTATCTCAGAAAGATACGAATAACATATTTCTAAAATATATGATACATATTTATAGACAATTTTTTGCATGAATTTGATCAATTTCGTGACAGACACTGTATCCCTTTTCCCCCGGTGGTTGCAATCAAAGAAAAAAGAAGAGAGAGGAATGTAAACATTATGCAAAGACAATATACTGCGTCCAATATGTAATTGCATATATACATATACATATATATGTGTGCGCATATATATACATATATATACATATATGTATGTATATAAAAATATCCGTCTACGTCTCGTTCTTTTCATTCAACAAATTGTAAGAGACTTTATTATTATTCTCAAATCGAGAGGCTGGGGGGTGGGGAGACAGGCGAACAAAGCCTGACTGAGGGAGGCCGCTTACCCGGTCGAGGAAAGGAAGTATTCCTTGTTCACACAGTTGCGTAGGCAGTCGGGTATGCGTCCGACGATCGCCCGTCGTATCTCGCTCGCCGCCATCTCACGTAATTCGGTGCAGCTCGCGTCGCTGTAGAAGGCGGCGTGTGGAGTGCATAAAAGATTGGGCGCATCTTTCAATGGACCTATATAAATATGTATTGCAAAATCGGCGATCAACAAAATCAGATATATACACACATACATACATACGTACACGTAGTGAATTTAACAATATCGAACGGTTTTTCAGAAAATATGTACATGATACAGTGAAAATTCATTGATTGCTATTTCCTTTAGTAAAATCACAAATTCTTTATTATAAAATAACTAAGATCACAAACTGCAGATTAAGACTTTGGAAATTTTCCATATAAAATATATGAGATAGAATTGCACAGAAAAAAATATAGAAAAATCAATTTGTAGTCATTTCCATCGACTTATGCTATTGTATATCGTAAAATTCCTTTATTAACTGTGCGTATATATGTTATACATATATTATATAGAATTAATATGGTATAAATTTTATAAAATTATTTTCACTGTAAAATATACATATTCGTTATGTTCTCTATTTTAAAAAAGCCCATGTCGATTTGATCTTTTTTATTTTACTATGGAAGGAATTCGGGAAGGTTAGAGATAGTCGTGACAGGGTTAGGCACGGGGGACAGATAAGACTCACACTGATTCGCAGACTGACCCTGAAAGACGTTATACGGCTCATTTTCATGGACATCTAGCGCTGCCGCGCGGATTCTACCCTGTTTGAGTGCCGCAGCTAGCGCGTCGTCATCCACCAAACCACCTCGCGCTGTATTGACTAAAAATGCACCTGGTCTCATCTGAAACGAATATGTGATTTATGTAACATAGAAATTGCGTCGTCGTGCCTTATTGAAACTGCAACCGCTAAAAAATTATAATTACTCGTATATAATCATACGTTCATCTTTTATTACAATTAATTTAAATAAAATCAATTTTATATTAATGTATTGCAATGTCATGAAATTACAGCATCAAAAAAATTTGAATGCATAACATTTCTGTAAATCTACGCATATCAATAATAAAATAAAAATAAAAATACAAAACATGATCTTATCTAAAAATAGTTTGGATCTTTTTGTAAAATAATTTACTACAATTATATTGTATCAACAAAATTTCTATCCCTAGATGTACATATATTAAACAAAATTTTTATAAACGTCGTTTATAAATTTTAATATACCTGTTTAATAGTATATTCATTTATTAAATGATGATTGTGTTCATTCAAAGTGCAATGCAGAGATACACAATCTGATTGGAACAGCAAATCCTGAAACATAATAAAAAATAATATCGGTTAGAAAATAAATTAAAAATTCTTAAGAAATTTATGACTAAAAATTTTTTTAATATTGTATACAGAATGTATTTTAACTACCATCCAATATTTTAGGAATTGATTTTTCAGATCATTTTATGAACTTTGAAGGTTTAAGTATATAAACATAATTTCAAAATTCTCACTTTGAAAATATACATATAGTAAAAAATTCTTCAAAAATTAAATTATTGTTTTTCCTTCATAGTTCCTAAATGAAGTTTTTTTCAAAACGTAGTAAATAAGATATTACTTTTTCATTTATAATTGTTTTGTCGAAAATTAGTAGAAGCAGGGATACATCGTTCATGAATCACATTTTTCAAACTTTTTTTAAATTGAAAGTTGAGAAAAAGTGAAAATTATAGAAGTTTTAACATCTTGTATCTCTAAAACGAGAACTACGTTCATAAAACCTTTTTTTTTTTCAATAAAATGACAAAAAACCAACTGATAAAATATTGAACAGTACTTAAAAAAAGACCCTGTATGTCTAATAAAATTTACAATATGGTTTAAAACATTATATGAAAAAATATTTGCACATATAACATCTAAAATCAATTATTTCCGGATAAGTACCCAAATGAATTTAATTACTACTAATTATTTAAATACTCGAGAAATATGAACTTTGTTTACAAATCCATAATTTGTCTATTTGTTTATGATATGTCATAACACTGCATTTGCAAAATTTTCATAAAATTCTATTTCTAAACGGAAATAATCGTCAAAACTGATTTCCTCAATAACAGACTTTACAGACCATAAATATAAGATAGGCTCTACGCAACGTATACAAATCCTTTAACAAATTCTAACTTACGTCACAATGTTAAAAAAAATTTAGTTTCAACTGCATTTTTATTTAATCGACCAATGTTCTATTAATGTATTTTATCTGTGTAGAAGATGCCCCAAAAAGGGGCAAAACGTACAAATTTAATATTATATTATGTTGAATATTATGTAGCATTTATAAGTCGTATCTAAAGATTATTTGCGTGAGACCACCTGCGCTTGACTCTCATAGCCTTTTTATTATTTTTGCTTTGTATCAACGGAGTGGATATCTTGACTTTTGTTTATAACTTGCGTCACATCAAGCAGTTTAAGATTTCTAAATGAACGAAATAGCGGCAATACCTCACTTACGGCTTCATAATAAATATAAAACGGAGCCACAAACCTGTAATGTGTAAACCCTGGTGAGACCTAATGATTTCTCGATACCATCTGGTAGATAAGGATCATAGAAGATGACGGTGAAACCAAAAGCTTTGGCACGCAGCGCAACTGCGGAACCAATCCTACCGAGGCCAACGATACCCAAGGTGTCACCCCGTATCCTTGCGCAGCCAGTTGCTGCTTCTCTCACCTAATACAAAATGTACAGAAAATTGTCAAGCCATTCAAGCAATATTGATGTATAATCAACAAATCTAACGGTAGTAGTAGTAGGAAATTACCTGTTCTGGTCCTGTGAATTTCTTGCCTTCGCGCACCATGTTGGCAAGCCAATAAGTGCGCCGATAAAGATTTAAGATGAGACAAAGAGTAGTGTCAGCCACTTCTTCAACCCCATAGCCAGGCACATTACACACCGCAATGCCAAGCTCACCAGCTGCCTTGACGTCGATGTTGTCTACGCCAGAACCGATCCGAACGATGATTCGTAGCGTCTTGAACTTTTCCAAATCCTCCTTCGTCAAAATTATCGTGTGCCACATCAACGCACCCACTGCTTCATTTAATACCTATAAATATATCCCATCACATTTATTTGCAAGTACATTATTTGTTTTTACAGTTGCACAAGATAAAATTTGGAAAAATATTAAATTTAACCAAATAAATACCAGACACGTAAACAAAACTGTTAACTCTGGTATAATGAAAGGTATTTTATTAAGTGTAAAATACAAAATAAATAAAATTAATTTTTTACAAATCAAAGAAAATAATTAGGTACTCGGAAAGCCACGAGAAAGAAAGGAAAGAGAAAAGTATGAGGCCAAGTGTACTATTGTCGGAACAAATTGTGTAAAATTTTTTATCCAACTTGAAAGTTATACACATGACTATTTTGTCTGATTCGAGTACAGGTATTAAAAAAAAAAGACTGAAACATTCCTGAATGTGGTATGAAAGCGTCTTATAGAAATAGATTTACCTCAACAAGAGAGAGTACACTCAGCCTAGTATTACTTATCACTACGTCTTACATCAAGTACCTGTATAAATATATATTTGAAACCAGGGAAAAAGAAATTCGAAGAAATCTAAAATATCAGAATAAGACGTGAAACATTTGAAAAATTATTAGAACCTAAAGTATTGACAAGAAACGCCTTGTATATCAGTACAGCATAAACGAAGGATTCTTTCAGAACTCGAGTTTGCTCACTTACAGAACGTACTCTACGTTTTGCCTTAATACTTAAATATCTCGATATAGATATCTCAATACTCCAATTCCCGATTCTATCAATATTCTTTAACATTGTAAAACATTTTGAAATTGCAATGTCTGTAAACTCCTTATTACAGATCCTCTAACATTCTGAAACACACTTGACCTCGTTACGACTGGGTAATGCGCTCCAGTTACCTTCTCGTGTATTTCTGAAGTGGACTGTGCGTCGCAGAAGGCAACAGTTGCGACGTCTTTGAGGATGGGCATTTCGATAGAACAATCACGGCCATCGAGAAGCGCGACCAGTGGCCGCGTCTGGATCGGTCCGTTGGCAATCGGACCTCTCAGATTATCCATACGAGGGCGTTTGGGCATCATCTTCCGTTTGTCCATCGGTCAGCAGACCGCCCCCCCTATTTTTATTGTTTTCACTGTGCGCTCTCAGTGTCACTACAAAGAAGAAATTACGACCGCTTCCCTTCCCCTTCGGCTCCGACCAACAGTCGAGGACGACAGAATATCCCGGCAAGACACTCGCAGCGGAGATGCCTCTTCTAGTCCAACTGGTACAACGTTTTAGCACTCTCGTTGTCTTTTAGGCTTTGTCACACAAACTGATTTTGCAACACTAACTTCTGGTCGGTCTTGGGGTGAAAACCGCCGAATCTCCAATGCATCACGGCTTGGTGAGTACCGTCTCCTGAAATTCACAAGGAAAGAACGTCATTAATTAAGGGAGCGAAACAGAGGTCGGGTGTTAAACAAAATATATCCCTTACGGGCACGTAAACACTGACTTTCTTATCATTTCTAAGTGCAATCTATACTTGAATAGTTCTAATAACTCGTCTCCCACTCGTATTAGCCCTTGAAAAGCTTTCTCCGTCAAGTCCCTTTCCTGCTCTCGCTTGTCAACCGCAATTTACAGCGAGGCGATAACCGCCTTCTTGCAAATTGGTACAACATGAGAAAGATCCGCGTCGAGTATACCCGTACCGCAACATCAGGACTCTCGCGCGTCTCACACGGATCCGAATTACGTTTACCGCACAGTACTCGGCGCGCGATATCAAGCGGCCCGTTAGCAAATATTATTGGTCTAAGGTGTCCCGGCCGCGTTTACCTTTTCGCGGCGAAGCGAAGCGGGAGCGGAATCGGGATGCCGCCGCGCGGGGCAAACATCGGCGATGTCACTCGTGTGGAAATGGACTAGACTCGGCCATAGCGTCCGTCGAGACGGGACGGGAAGGAACGTTACCTCGCGTAGCCGTGCCCACCGCGCATCGGTCTTTTCGCGAACTTTTCGCCGAACGCGAGCACGAGCTATTCGCGGGCGCCCGTTCCCGGACACACGAGGCTACAAAGAAAGCGTCGCTTTTGCTCGAGTCGGTCACCGCTACCGCCGCTGTCGCCGCCACCGCCGCCGCCACCGCCGCCGCCGCCGCCGCCGCCGCTTCGCGACTTTTTAGGTTACCTTGAAACGCGCCGGCTTAACCTGCGCAGTGCCAATAGCGCGTCTCGCTGGCTGGCTGGCCGACGCGGAATCCGGACTTCGGCCTCCTCGGATCTCGGGGCAGGAGCGCGACGACTGCCGGCACGCGAGCGCGGGACTCGCGTCGCCGTGGACGGCTCCGCGAAAGCGATATGGAGACGAGGAAAACCGAGGCACCGCACCGAGTTCCGCAAGCACCAACACAGAGCGGAGACGAGTGGAGAGGAGGCGCTCGCAGATGCGGCACGGCACGCCACACAGGCCACAGCGGCGCTCGCTCGCTCGCTCGCTCGCCCGTTCGTTCGCTCGCTCGAGGCGCTGGGGCCGATGTTTTTGGCAACGTTAATAGCGAGGGCGCCTTCTTCGAGTTAGTTAGCGAGCGAGCGAGCGAGCGGCGAGCGCGCGCGCGGGGTAAGTGGATCTGTTTCCAACCCGTTTTCGGCTTCGGCCGAAGCCGATGCCAGCGACAATTGAAAGCCAATCATCGTAGAGTTACGAACTCGCAACAGTTCTCATCTCTCGCGCGTTTCGCCATCTCGTCTTTTTTTCTCAACGTCGGCCATCGAGATGTATTCCAATCAGGAGTGCGATCGAACAGGAAGTGTCACGGCCATGTGCACCAGCCATGTTATCGATACGAGTGTTGGGACAGTGATTGGAAGCCGATTACTTTAACGAGAGTTACGACGCGATTAAATGTTTTTACTATTGTCTTCGCCCGGTCCTCGTAGTCGAATCCAGTATTCAACGTCATCTCTGGACGCTCCATAGCCAATCAAATGTCCCGCACGGCGTCTTTAAGCCCGTGTCCGACTACGGATTGGGATTAGATTGAAAGTTGACCAATCGGAGCAAAGTTTACTAATCACAACTTTAGTGAATTTTACTCCGAATTTCAATCTGTGATACGCGCTTTAGATGGATTCAAAACGGCTTGAATACAAGATCCGACTATGAATACCGACCTTTGATTTTTTTACTCCATATACTGTTATATAGTAATACAACTATTACAATTTTGCAATTATGTGATATTACTACTTATTATTATCCTCATTATTAAAACCTGGTTAAGCCCGATGTCGGACTACGGGTTGAGCTTGAGATTAAAATAGCGTTTTCGATTTGCTGACTCGACCCGACTCCGAGTCAGAAAAGTTTGATCAAAAGTAAGATTTTTGCAGAAATTGTGGTTCAAATCTGGCTTTTGATCGAACTTTTCTGACTCGGGGTCGGGTCGAGTCAGAAAATCGAAAACGCTACAAGTTGAAATTTTACCAATCAATAAAATTCACTAAATTTCAAGTTAGTAAACTTTACTCCGATTGGTCGAATTTCAATCTGATCTCAATCTCAATCCGTAGTCTGATACGGGCTTCAGAGCGCGAGAATTAGCGATGGACAGAATAGTTGCGACCAGTTGCGACACTTTTTTCACGAGGTTAGGAACGTCCATTTAGATTCAGGTTCCAAAATCTTCCCCGAGGAATATTTTACTCGATGGCCGATTTCGAAACTATTTTTTAACGTTTCCGATCGATTTCTCGAGTAAAATAGGTTTCCTCGTAGAAAATGTTTTGGAACATAAACCTGGATTCTAAACTCATTAAAAGAAAAAGCGTTGCGAACATTCTGTTCATCACTGAACCTAGAAGATTGTAAAATAACGATAAAAGAATATTATTGCACTAGGAAATGTACACAGAAAGCCATTGTCGCCTGCCTGCTTATAACTACTTTTGAATTAGATACATTGCGCGCCCCCCTCCTCCCCCAACTGCTTAATTTAATATAAAAATTTCTGATTGGTCGATTCACAAACTCCAAGCTCCGCTCACTGTGGGACACTGTGAGTGGTCAAATGGGACGCTCCTGATGTTCGTACATCATGATTGTTAATCGACGTTTTTTTACTCTCTCTGCAATTATTATAGTTGTGAACGGTATTACAATTGAATTATCATTATTTTTTTTATTTAAGTTTAGCTCTCGCATTGTTTTTGCGTATCCAACATTTAGTTATCTCTTTAAGTAATAATAAAATATTAAATAAAATTTCTTACCAGGTTAATTAAAATCTCCGCAAAATAGTATTATTTTTTTACAGTATAATTAATACCAAACATATTAATGCCATTAAGTTTGAGCTTGTTTTTAGAATTCACTTCGATGTTGCATGGTTATCTCCTCTCAAAATTCAAAACTTTATGTACTGTATGTACACAACATAAACAGTTCTCAAGTCGGTTTTACTTTCTCTACTTGAGACACGAACGATACCAATTTCTATTCGGAATGAGAAAGTATAAACTCTACGCTATCGTATGTTAGATTCATCCGATTTAATCTAATACATCGTCAATTTTAAACTCTACTCCGATGTCATCTTTGCTATATTTTGCAACGTAAAATATTTCATATCTGTATTACTGGAAGAGAAGCGTACGTAACAAATGTAACTGATAGAGGAAAGTCCCCTCTTATGAGATAGCGGAGTTTCTGCTAAATTAATAGGCATCATCTATTGGTTCCACCATAAATTTGTTGCCCCCGGAGTGAAATCTGTTTGGTGGAAAATTGATTATTAGATTGTGTATTACATCGTTGTGAGAAAAATCAATTTGGAATTGAATTTGGACGTTGAAAACCTACTATCTCATAATAGAGGACTTTCCTCTATATAATTCAAAGTTACGATTCTAGTATAACTAACAATTAATAATTATTGTATTATAGTATCCAACATTCAGCCAAATATTAATTTGAAATCTTGTCTATTACTGACTTTTCAATCTTATAGTTTAATCATTTATATCATACATTTACTCGGAATAGCCAGTTGATAGAATGTGATAAAATTGATAAAATGTCAAGCTGATAGACAGCTCCAGACCAATATTGTCGGACTTCATAGTCAAGATGTATGTACATCTAGATACGATAAATGACTTGGAAGTTATAGTCAAGTGAGAAAACATTAATAAATGTCGTCTATATCTAATGTAATCCCAAAGTAGATATTTCGAGTTTTCAGAATTACACTGTAACTGAATGTATTATATGAAGGCACCCACAAATAACGCAACATAAAAGGAACTTTGAATAAAGTAGAAGATGGATGGAGGAAGGTGGATTAATATTTCCAAAAAAATTTGTGTGGGCAAAATGGAAAAACGCTAAACAAGTGGAAAGAAGCCTGTACTTACGCAGAGAAGCTCTTACAGGCGGATGATATTATATTATAAATTACCGTGAACAAATAGCAGTTAAAACATAAAGCGGACATGATGTATATCAGACTTTCAATTAACTGTTATACAAATTTTTTAATTGCATTTTTAATTGAAAAAGTATACATTGCCATGGCATACATTGCCATTGAGAATAAATTATAATCTGTCGTAAAGCAATTAGAAGTGAAAACTCGCAATTAATCAAGTGTCTTAATTAATAAAAAAATAAAAAAGTATTAGTTGCATTTAATTACTTCAAAAGCTAGTATTAAATCATGAAAATGTTATTTGATTTTTAATTCGCTTAAATAAATTAACAAAGCATATTTTTTACTAGTAAAAATGCAAAATACAATCAACACAGGAGTAAGTCTATTTAGCATATTTATCCACGGTTACGCTATTACTAACATTAATACACGAAGCTTTGTGCAAGTTCTTCCAAATTTGCATTCTTAAACATATGAGAATAAACTAAATAAATATTCGTACCAAAGCATAATATTAATAATAATAAAGTTGCTGGTTTTACAAGAGAATATTAGAATGAGCAAAGAGATACAATGCTTATAAACAACGCAACTTATACCAAACGTCGCATTTATAAGAAGAATATGTAAGACAAGTGCAAACAGAATGAAGAAAGCACTCTGATCGTACCAATACGTGGCGCCCTCACGCGAATAAGGATGCCTATGGACGCCACAATCGCCAGAATGACATTTTCACGAGAAACATGGAGGATTGGCCTTCAGCTTTAGTGGTTTTAGCCATCATATCTTTGGATCTATTAACTTTTTCTTTAGCCACAGCTATAATTTTACTGCTTAACTTTAACTTTACTAACTTCACCATTGTAACTTTATTATTCCTTATCTTAACTTTATTAACTTTAATCTTTTAATCTTAAATTAAAATAGAAACTTTATTACAGCTGTAGTTTTAATTTTTAAAACTCGAGTTTTAGTCCTTAATTCTAATTTTACGTTTAATTACAACTTAGTTTTAACTTTAGCTTAAACTGTAATTTTAATTATCTCTATTGTATTAATAATATTTGTAAATATTGTTAATCATGATCTAAAAAGTAGTGACAAATTATAATCAATTAACCATTATTATTTAATTAATATATAACTTTATTCATATTTCTGTTCACATAGTGACGTATGATGACATGGGACACTATCGATGCGCCATTGTCATTATGGGAAATAATATCTTTTCCTGCACGTACGTATAATATAATAGAAATATTAAGTTTAACCAGATACGGAACGTACGATTTGTAATGGCTTATTAATTAAATATCGCATAAAGATAAGACACACGAAAATAACCGCGTTTTAAAGCTGACTTGTTGTTATGCGTTCACATTTATTTCAAGTTTGTTAAAGAATCAGTGACAAAGAAGTTAAAACAATTCCTTGGAACGTTTGCATACGAATGTATAACACTCGTTGCAGCACGTGCAACCGCTAAGTGAATCAACTCACCTCGTGGCAAGGATAACCAAAAATAATGCGACGTCTTCATTCGACAAATATTTGAATGCCACGGTTCAAATGTCGCGTTGCATGAATGAAGTGATATAATGTTTAATGATGTCGCAAGTGCGTATAGCAATGTAGCATACGCAGTAAAATTCGTTATGGGCAAAATATTTTTATTTATAGATACGCATTTTGCACGGACATTACACTGGAAGAAACTTCAAAGATAAAAATTATGATACTTTAATTGAAAGAAACTGAAAGAATACAAAGAACAAAAAGATAATAAAATAAATACAAGATAAACACTATTTTCTTCCTTATATATAACTTTTTAAATAAAATATATTTTTGAAGATCGTTAAAAAAATTTTTTCCTTCCCTTATTTCTATTTACTTCACTTCTCTTCCTTTCTTCACCCTTTTCTTTACTCTTTATTTCCTTATATCGGTTATCCTTACGTTTATTCTAATTAATACAACTTTATTTTTCTTATCCTTAATTTTTTTCCTCTTATTTATATTCCATCTTCGTAAAATAAGCTGGTCAAGGTGCGGTCGTTGAATCTTGGAATATCCTATATACATTTGCATGCACGCGTCACACACATAAAGTGGCGCACATAATCGGAAATGTAGTCCGTTCAAGGAAGGCTACGGAAAACGAGATCGTTGCTGGCCTCAGCGAAAGCGAGCGGCGAGGACGCGACACTAACGCTACGTCGTACTCTGCCGAGCCAAGCACTTTGACTTGGGCACATGTTGTGCCAACTCAGCGAAAACGTAAGCTCGTATCATCGAAAGCAAGAGGAGGGAGGCGGAATCGAGCGGGCGAGATTAAGCCCTTGTTCGACAGCTGGTAGCGTATATCGCGCGTTATACATATCGCTTAACAGCAGCGAAGCAACGCATCGAGGAAATATACTTCAGGAAGAAGAGAATGTATTTATACACAAGCTGATAATCGCGCCGTAAGGACTATTTATTTTGATACAATTAAACCGCAATGTGAAAGTCTTGGATGCTTGGAAAATTCTATCAAATATATAACGATAAAAAACGACAACTGTCCAGATAAAAACTATTATTTATAAACATATTGTGAGTGTGTGTATACATATACATACATAAAATAGATACAAATTTGTTTTATTGTCAGCCAATAGTGACAAAAAGATTAAAATGTGTTAAAGAAAGATATATAAAAGTAAAATAAAAATAAATTCATAAAACGATAATAAATCAAGTTGATCGTACCGCACCTCGATTGCATTTGAAGTAATTTGAAACTAATTTGGCACATTAAGTCAATATTTATTGAATAAAATTGCCTTGCGTATTTTTCAATATTTAGATCACGCATTTCCTTTTATAAAAAAAAACCCTGAAATTAGTAAATGAAGAACAAACCCCCTCTTAAAGGGGATGCCCTGACCAAGTGGTTAAATTCAACCCTTCGGCTTAATCTCGGTATGCAACAGAGCTTTTCGATTCAGAGAGACAAAGACGGACAGATTAGTGCTTAGAACAAGGAAGGGTATGAGAGGGACAAAGGCGGAGGTGGGAATAGAAGGGAGTGAGTGGAGTTACGAACGGGATGGGGCACTATGAGGGCGAAGTTATCCAATTATTGTCTAACCTGAGAGCAACTTTACTTGGCAAAGAACTCGTGGATGGTAGGGAGGGAGAGAGAAAGCTCCGTCCTGCCGGATTCCCCCCACTCTCTACAATCGCCAGCCACGATAAAGTAAAGTTTGTTTCAAAACTTGCCGTTCTCACCGAGAGAGAAAGAGAGGGGAAGAAAGCGAGGAGAGGAAGAAGAAAAAGAGAAGTGACTGCGTTTTTGTTAGTGACACGTAAAATTCAAACGACTTCGCTTTTCGACAACAATTCGAGCTTTCTTTAACTGATTAAGATATAATAAACAAGTAATACAAAATACTCCAAATTTCTCCATATTTCTATCTTTATCTATTTACATTCATTATGCATAAATATTTAGATTTTCAGGATTAATTCTTTAAGTTGTATCTAAATTTCTAAATTAATTCGAAAAAGTTCGTGAAATAAAAATCCCCGAGTTCTCAGAACTAATTTGTAAAGATCTCGTTTCAAATTTCTACAATTAATCTTTGCGATCGTTGTATTTTCAACAAACAGATACCAGGTGTTTTATTGCCACTATAAGATCTAATTTTTTAAATATGTTTGTTATTATCATACATTACAATTATATATAGTTTGTTCGAAAAAACGAAGAAATTCAAAATTCGTTCAATCAAAGTTTATATTAGAAATATCGCTTTTTAAAACTGCTTTGAGAGATAAAAAGAAGAGTGCTTCCCCTTAGAAAAGAGAGGAAAAACAGAAGAGTAGAAGGGAGGGGTAAAGAGAAAAGTAAATAGGCACAAAAAAGAGGAAGCGAGGGGGAGAGAGCTCTTCTCACTTCTCTATAAATAATGGAATATTACATAGAATATAATATGGAAAATATAAAATATACAAAACTAAGAATAAACTTTTTAATAAGTAATAAAATAATAACACTATCAATTCCAAATTCATTAAGCATCTGTTATGCGATACGATGGCTAACAACGGTGTTAAGTTAGCTCCCAATATAAAAAAAAAACTATAGCTCAGACTTCGAGCGCTCGTTGTACATACATGCTCTCATCGTATGTACATACATATGCGCATGTAAACTGCAATTGACCGCTCGCCAAACTTTATGTTTTATAACTCAAGCGTATAAAATATAGACTGTGTTTTCAATTTGAAACTTGTACAAATAATAAAAAGAAAACATGCTTTGGATCGTAGTTCTGTCTTCGTCTGTCAATGTTTGGAGTAGGAATTCAATATGTTTATCGCACTTTTCCCCCCACATGTCATTAGATATTGTTATTATCATACATTACAATTATGTACCATATTTTATTCGAAAAAAACGAAGCAATTCAAAATTTGTTTAATCAAAGATTATATTAAAAATATTGCTGATTAAAACTGCTTTCAGAGATAAGAAGACAAAGTTACAGCCCTATATTATCTTATTTTACATTTGTATTTCTCTGATTACGAGAGAGAAGGACCGCGCAGTCCACATATTATATGACCATGTTATAATTGCTAAGGATAAACGAAAAATCGAACTGTATGTGAGTATGCCAACCACAATCAATCGATCAAGGCTACTCGAATCAAATTTTCTCATAGTAGTCAGAGGAGAGGAGACTAATATGAAATTCGCCCCCCAAAGGTCTTTTGTTAATAACGTTTGCTGTACATACAAGTGTGCAAACAAAAATATGAAATGTACAAACGACGAGAGATTTTTCTGTAACATTGTGAGACTCACTTTATACAGGTGTATCTAGCGTGACGAAGATATTCTATCATGTTAATTTTTTTCGAATACGATTTTTCATACCCCGTGCGAGAAAAGACTTCGATAAGAGAAAAAAAAAGAGAGAGAAAGAGAAGAGAAAGAACAACAAGCGGGGGATAAGGAAGTCGTCCATAATTATGACGGAGGAGTATCGGTGGCGGTAGTTCGGCCATTCTCATCCTCACGAGAGGGAGGGATTGTGGAGGGGTTGTTGCTCTCCGCTCGCCGTACCTTCCGTCTCCGAGCGAACGGCTAAGAGAAGAGTGGTGGAGGGGGAAGGAGAGGCGACTACTTAAAGTTGGCGGAAAGTTTGGTTCGGCAGCAAAGTTAACTGAGTTAAGTTCTCCGCTCCTAAAGCGAAACTTCGCTGCTTCTCTCTAACGCCCCCTTTCTCCTCCTCCCTCTCGCTGTGCCTGCTCTACTCCTCTCGCCTCTCACCTTCCCCCCCTCCCTTTCTCTCCACGAACGACGAGCGGTTTCTCCTCGGCATTCCGGCTTGTCCAAAGGAGTGAATAGTGTGTTTTGGGATTACTGTTTCTTCTTCGTGTCCACACGACTTCCGCGGTGGCATCTCACGTAAGAGAAAGGAAAGAGATCGAGACACACGATGTCCCAATTGTCAAAAAAACCATCATTGGCATAATTTCAAGCATACATGAACAATACTATTACGAAAATATCTTCGCGATATCAAATATACTGAAATGCACGTTACGCTGTTTTAATAGCTATCAAAATAGTTTGAGGGAATTTTTTCATCCTGTTCTGCGAAAGAAACGGTAATCTAAAAAATTTACTATTTCTATTAATTATACGGATTTCAAGTAACAAAATCGAAATATGTAGAATTAACTAACGCGATAATTAAAAAAGTGCGATCATATCGAAAGATTACTGTTCCTTGTATCTCACCGACGAAGAGTAGGGGAGTCATAGCAATGCGAATTATAGCGAAGCAACGGCCTAGCGTAGATCATTGTGGATTTGTTGAACTCCGCGAATGCAGTTCGTCGGCCTTGAAGCTGCACTTCTCTTGCCGCTCTTTTGCACACATCGACACATATGCGACGCACGTGGCGAGACGCAAACTCTTCTTCCTCCCCCTCCCCCTTCCCTCACCCTAGCAGCAAGCAACGAGCTTACAGATCAATGTAGGTATACGTAATTCTCGGCGGTAAGCTCTTAGGCTAATCGACTCATCCACTGATTCATTACATGGGTTTCTCGGTCTGACACTGGTGTAAAAATTTCTCACCGAGTTACTAACTAAAACATACTCTTTCTAAAGTTGCGCGTTTGATACCAGAGACCATTTGGCCACTTTTTAAATGCTCGTTGACATTATATGTGTAATTTTTTAATTTTGTATGGACATAAAATTATAAGTGAATCAAAGACATAGTAAAAACACAATTAATGCATTAGATGGGAAATACGATTAATTGAATATATATTAAAAATTAGTAAAGTAAGAAATACTTTTGGATTCGTTTTCTCTACAAAGGATTAGACGTGAACAAACTGATTATTACAAACAGTAAGTTTTTTAAATTCAACTTATTTTGAAGATGCTATTTGTCTATCGATGTACAATTTTTCATAAATTTAATAGTTTCTTTATAAATTGCCGACATCCCCATATTATTAATAAAACTATTGATTATTAAATATTATATTATAAAAAATTATTACATGTAATAAAAATATGTTTATAATTTCCATCGACAAATAATAGACGTGATAGAATAACAGAAAGAAATAGGATGATTATAGAGTCAACGACACGTATCAATCATATCATTCGAATGTTCTTTTAGTCGAGTTTGTAGGTGTCAGTTTTTAGATGTAAAATTTATATTTCTGGATACGAAAAATAGAGAATCACGAATCATTATGGAAAATTTTACATTCGCATTCCTGATCGTAGTAGAATAACATAATTACGAATAGACGGATATAGTCCTTTCTTCGCAAAAAAGTTGCTGTTTTATTACAAGTTTGCGTAATTCTTGCGATTTGTTTTGGCGAATAATCTCGTTGCCACAACATTCTTCGACAGTAAGCTAATATTATATTATCGCACATGAAAATGCTTACGCATCGAATTCGTTGCAAACATCTTCTATTGACATTGCTCTGTCATGATAATTTTACGCGAATATAACGAAAATTAATTAGATAAGGAAAATATTTAAAAAACGTTATTTAAGAAAATAGTTTGTACTATAATAGTAAATACTGAATAGAAAACCTATCGGATGGTGGTATACATGATTGGTATACAAAAGTCATAAGTAGATTAGGTATATACTTTGACATAATCAGAGAGACTGATACATCCGATGTGATTAGCACTTGACTGGATTATCACGAGACACGGTAGTGTCTCGCGCCAAGTGTATTTGACACGAGATCAATGAGGTTCTGAACATGCAAGAACGTGGACAAATATACAAGCCGTGATGAAATAAATATGGAGACAGCAGCGACTTTGCAACATGTAAAATAATTGTTCCATATTCATAAATGTGTGAAATTTGTTCCACAGACGAGAAGCAAACATTTTTCTATGTATTTACGTATTTCTTAATTTATTACATACTTCTACTTTCCATTAATTTGCTGTTTATTGTAAGTTCATTATTTCCATTACTTATTGCCATTCTTACTTTAAACGTCTCGAATTATGCAAATAAAACACTTTTCCATCTTTTATCATTATTCATATGTTTTTTTCTTAATTTTTATTGTGGTTATTATGTTCCATTTTATCATTCTCCTTTTACTCCTTTCAGATGAAGCAAGAAAAGTTTCACATTGTAAGCTATCCCGATTCATAATAGGCGGTGTTACGGATCAAGTGTCATCGCACTAGTGAAGAACAATGCAGTTAATTTGCAAAGATGCACCGGCTGCTCGCGCTATTCATTCGCGGAGAAAGCGCGACGAGTGTATCGGCCTTGTTAAGTTTCAAAGTTACACACACACACCTTAGCGACGAGAAGTTTGCAACCCGTCGCTGATAATCCCGCGCTTACCACACTCCGAATCAGAATTTTCCGCGTATTATAAACCACCCAACAAAGTTTTCGTATTATCTCCATAATAGAAAAGCTTCTCATATAAGAATAAGTACGCATTTATAGAGTAATTCGATTGATTGTAATAGATCAACGTAATTAATCATCTCCGCTTTCTTTCCAAGATCAGAATTGCTAAATATCAACGTAAAATAACATCAAAAGACACGGCAGTGTCTTGCATCAAGTTACACGCAAGACCATTCCGTGTGTCTATACGTGAGTCGAGGTCATCTGCGAATACCTCAGGTCATCGAGTCAAAAAAACGATTGGAATCGATTGAATTCCTATTCGGCTTAAGCGGTAACTTAAGTTCAATTTGTATTTTTATCTTCTTCTTTAAGTGTTCGAAGAACGAAGTTATTGTGATATAAAGTCGCATGTTGCAATTTAAGAAGCACCATTGTCGTAATCGTGTCATTTTCTCTTCTATTATATATCCATCCTTTTCTAATGCTGTGCAGTTACGATTTTCAACACGTGTGGTGCTCGTAGTAGCGCTCCGTTATGAAAGCTCCGTTATGAAAGAAATTGACAGATTTGACTTGGACAAGTTTTGACAGATGTCTTTTAAATACTAAGGATTAATGTTAACGAAAAATACGTTGCATGTACATATATAGTATTTTTAATATTAGGTTAACTTGAGCTTAAAAAAATCAACTTATTTCCTGAAAAAAATGTATAGTGGAAACCAGGCATACGTGCCCCAGTCGGAAATGTGCCTCGATAATGTTATCTCCGAAATTACTTAAAATTTAGCGCCAATGCGGTCTGAGACACTCAAACCGTAATGGCCATGACGTATGTAAACAAAATTGAGCCGGTTTTGTTGCAGAAAAATAATCGTTACAGAAAGTGTTCCAAAGGTAAGTTTCGACACGTGAATTTGTTTTGCAGGCTTTTCAGACCAGTGCATTGCTCTTTCTATGTTTTTAATTTAACACAACCTTAAAGTTTTTAATACCAGTGTTGCGTTTCATGCAAATTTATTGTTATTTAATTCAGTGGGGCGCATAGATTAGACGGACTCACGTTTAAGCACGATTGCAATACCAAAGAATCGTAAAAAGGCAGAATTTATATGAAAAGAAATATACGATATTTTAGATCATTTTAATTTTCGGATATACACAAAATCTATACATAAAAAAAATCGCAAAGTCTCCAGCGAGTAGACGAAATAATTCAATTTTATCACCTTTTCTACTTTTACTGTGTTATATGTACGGTATAAGAATGGTGCATCATATTTTTCTTATTATATTAAACTGTGTCTAGACGATTAAGAAATGATTAATCCGCGATGAATTGAAAATGGAAGAAAATGATTAAGGCGTTTCCATTTTAACCATTTTCAGATTGTGCGAATTTGTTTCTCAGAAATCCTCCCCTTTTCCTAGTAATACCGTTGTTCCTAGAAAACATTCTTATATCGAATGCATTCTGAAAATCACTAAAAAGATGATTTCCCCGAGGTCAATTAATACAAACAGACCTTTAGCGACGTGAAATTCATCGTTTCTGCTGAGCAAATTGCGAACGGAATGCATGTGCTCTTTTGTTTCTCACTTTCTTCTTTCTCGGCATTTGGTAATTTTCAGACACCCCGTATACACAATACATCCACGAGGCACGCGCGCACGGGCGCGGGCGCGCGCACACATAGCCGCAGCGGGTTAGCACAAGTGCGTAAAGCGCGCAAGCGGCTGGCCTGAGTAGTTTCACGGAGAGTTTCCTCCTGGTCTCGCAGTGTGCCGAGAGATACGGCATCTTGACTCCTAGTAGAGTAGCAGCGCCGTCGAAAGAGCGAGGCAAGAGAGAGAGAGAGAGACAGAGTAGGAGAGTGAGGGAATGGAGGGGAAGAGTGTGGCACAAGCAATGGCCGCGAGACCCGATCGATGTCTCGGCAACTTCCCCCTTCCGCCGTTCAACGCGACACGTCCCTCCTCCGTGCCATCGCCATCACAACTCGCCTCATCCCGCTCTCGTCAGCGTCTCTACCCCGGCCCTCCCCCGGTCCCGACTCCGGTCCCGGTCCCGCCGCGACTTCGCCGAGCATTACCTTTTCCCCTTCCCTTCCCTTTTCGCCGAACTAAATCCCAGATAGCCGCTCGCCGCCGTACCGCTCGCTCGCCTCCTCGAGTCTGTTTACAATGGCGATGCGCTACTCCCATTATCCTCGGTGTACTTCACCTTCGGATCAACTGCACCGGTAGCGGCGGCGACAATGGTAACGGCGGCAGAAACGACGACGATGATTACGAGAAGAGGAACGGACCGTGGCAACATCTTTAAGTTGATCCGAGACCCACTACGATGTCTACGCGCTAAGAATTCTCGGTTCCTACCTTTCCCCTCTCACGTCATACAACACGAATTGTTATTTCGGTTTTCTTGCGACATACGACGTTTCTTCTTGTTTCACGAGGAAGGTCATAAACGGTGCACTACAAGGGCTCTCGATATGATTCCATTGTTCAAATGAAAACAATTATAAAAAATTGATTTCTAGCAGATGAGAGTAAAATGTCACGTTGTTACGTTAATAAACATATATTTAAGAATTTGTAAAACACGACAATAAATAGCTTATGAAATTCGTGGAACATTATTTCCTTTAATTCCTGTGTTATGTCACTTTGTAGGAATCTTCAATAAAAGAACGAGGATTATGAGAACCCGCGTCACCGATTGGGTTCATAGAGCGTGATATTCTGCAGTTTGCGTCTTTATTTGGTTCTCTGTGTGAAGAACTCGTCATTCATCTTTGTCGCTTCGTTTTACGAAGGGGAAGATTATGAGATACAGTACGATAAAACCACAATATTGCTCTATCATATTACATTCGTGAGACATGCATGATGCGTTCAGATAGAAATTGGATTTGTTGTAAATTATTGAAATAATTGAACATGAATATCGCAAAAGGAGAAAAGAACTTGTCAAATTGTGTATATCTTTTCAAAATCTGTATAATTGATCGTAACGTAAAATATAGTTTAATAACATTTAAAAAATAGCCAAAATAAAAATATAAAATTGTACACAATCGGGACTCGCATCTGTAAAAGAAAAAGATATCACAGTTCTAAGATTGATGATAGAATAACGAGATAAATTTGTAAGAAATAGATTATACGAGCACATTACGCCATAAAAGTGATTAAGCATAGTATGTGATTTCTGTACTTTCTGTTCTCTCTGTTCTGTATTCTCTGCGTCCATTATTTGGTTTTCTTTGTGTAATACTGCGTGAACAAGGACGCGTGGCGTCGTCACTCTTCGCTGCTTCGTTTCATGAGGGAGATGATTATGCAAATTATATAGAACGACTCTGTGTAGTAATAAACACGTACAAAGAGAACAACAGGATTTGTGAAAAGAAATGATGGAATTCAAAATCTCTTGAATGAAGAAATTTAATATGTCGATATCTCGTGACAACCAACTGCTAAGTTAAACTAAAACTTGCATAATTATAGAATATTTTTGGTAGTAAAGACTTGCTGTAATTCTAATTTATTTTTAATTAAGAAAGCACAGTTATGTTGTCGGAAAATATCCGCTTGAAAAACAAATATAGGTACAAACATATTAAAAAAGAATAAAAATAATGACATCTTGCACATACAATTATTGAGAAATTTTTAATAAAAAGTAATAATTTTAAATAAAAAGCTGTATAAAAATCTCATTTTGTGCAAAAATTTTATCTTGAATATAAGAAAGATTTACTAAAGATAAATCGTTAGAAAAAATTAGAAAAATCTTTATAAACTTATAAAGAATTAAGATATTCATTGTATAGATTAGAATAAGAGATAAAAATATATTAGAAAAATAACAGATATATGGATGAATTTTTTTCTGCGATGCGGGAACATTGTTGCATCATACTCAACGACGCGGCGAATTCACTGGCTCTAAGATGTATGCTAATAGCACGGGCAGTTATGTAGTCTTACTTAATTATACTCGCGCGTGATTCAAATAAGAAAGCATTTGACAATTGGTCGACATTTAAATTAGTCAACTAGTGTCTATTAGATATGGAATTATTTTTGCGCGATAATATGCGCAGGAGACAGTGGACTTTGTTGGAACTTTCTGTCGCCTTAGCAAACAAATTAATTGTCAAATATGTATTATATAGGTATTCTTGTCTATCTTATCTATCTCATCTATCGAGATACAAAAGTAATAATTTCCATTTTTATATAGTGTTGTATTTTTCATAATTTCCAATATTCTTAAATTCTTATAAATTTATTAATTAATATATATATATTTAACAATGTTTCAAAATTGAAAAATAATTACAGTGTGTATCTTGTTTAATAATTTTTTAATTAATATATATTAATATTCATATATACAGGGTGTCAGACTCGTTAGTAGCCAAACTAAAAATTATGGTAGATTGGGTTAAACTGAGAAGAAAAGTCATGTACCGTTTTGCAAAATTAGCAATAGTTATCGCGTAATTGATAAAAACTTTACATGCCTGCCGGGTCCGGCCTTCCGCTCCTTGTGCGTTTATTCGGCCAGATATTTTTATCAATTACGCGATAACTATTGCTAATTTTGCAAAACGGTACATGACTTTTCTTTTCAGTTTAACCCAATCTACCGTAATTTTTAGTTTGGCTACTAACGAGTCTGACAGCCTGTATATTAATTTCAAAAGTTATAAAAATTGTAAGAATATTTCTTTGAATTTATAATTCTGCAGAAATTAATTTTTTATTTAGCAATATGTATTTCCATTTTCTAATATTTAACTTTAATACTGATTTAACACTTCAACTTTAATACTGGATCATTAAAATCATCCAACATCAGTTATTTTCCATCAAACTATAGGTAAACTAACTCGTCTATTATTTTTATTTTAAAAAATTATTTTATATCGCTAATTCAATATTGTAACTTTTCAGATTGACCCTCCCGGTCAGGACAAGTATCTGTTTCGCGTGACCGGCGCAAAGGTGAACATTTATGCTGTCTCTTCTTTACTCGGCCAGACGCAGCGCTGCTACAATCGATTTTCCATAATCCCGATTGCGCGTGGACGATTACGCTTCTGTTCTCTCTCCCCCTCTCCTCCTTCCCCCTCTCGTTGCTAATTAATAGCACTGGGATATCATCCTTTCTCTCGCAAAATTTTAAGAAAATCGCAACTTTCTTACATTTTTAAAGAAATTAAAAATTAATTTGCATTTTACTCATAAAATTTATCTTCATAGAAAACCTATTGTTACTTTAATTAAAACTTTTTACATATCCCTATTATATAGTATATAATACGTGTATACGTCTCTTGCGTGTGTGTGTGTGTGTGTTATTCTCAGATCATTAATCTTTTGTTCTCATAATGTATTTTAAGTTGTAATAATTTTTCAATATGGCTACTATTTTGCTGCATACAAAGATCAATTCTTATCAAGTGTCTAACGCCATACCTTTTAACATTACATAACGTTATAACTGTACAATTCCATCTTTTTTAATTTTTAAATGGATTAGCGTAAACTATTTCATTAAAATAAAAATCTAACTGATAAAATTTAATCGCAACATCATTTTCACTTCAATGCCAACTATAAAGATTTAAACAGATAATGGGCAGATAACACTTCTACGCGACTAACAGGAAAGATTCTCTTCTAAACGTAAACATTGAACTGTATCTGCACGAGTTTAGCATCTAGGATCCTTAATTAATAAATGTCGGGCAATATTTTCAATAACAATTATATCTTTTGAAATAGCATTTCCGTTAAATTTATAGTTTTTCTTCTATATATCCAAACAACTTTCCTTAAAGACAGCTTTTCTTGATAGCATTAAACTTTATATACATATAGTCTTCTCTATTTTTCTCATATCATACACATATTTTTGTGTATTATTAAACTTTTTTCACTTACGAAAGGTTTTTGTACTGAAAAAATTATTTCAATTCCCAACAAGAAATATGGCGCCGATAATCGAACACCCCGTATAAAAAAGCCGTCCGAATATAGCCGTGTGGAAACAGTGGCCCGTCGGATTGAGAGGCCGCATGGAGAAAGGGAGAAAATATCGGCGGAGAGG